GTGGCTTGGGTCTGTTAATTTGTTTAGAAGCCTTGGTTTTTATAAGGTCAGCTAGAAATCAGTCAGCTACTCTTCCTGTCCTAACACCCAATATATCTCTAAGTACTGACTTCTGATTGCTAATTTGAAAATAAACTAGTGCATTGGTGATATCAAATCTTTTAGTTCATTATTTAAATATTTTAGCAAGTAATCATATAGTTTAATTTAGGAGTTCATAAATTTTCTTGTAAAATGCATGATAGGAACTCTGTTAAGTCAGTTTGATAGTGGTCTGCTTGCTTAATCTCAGTGAGGACTTTATATTTTGATTCAGTTTTGTTATTGTTGTTTTGTGTGGGTGGTGTTGTTGTTTGTTTTATTTGTTTGTTTTTGCTTTGGTTTTTTGTAGTATTTTCTTAGTCTTTCTCATGAAGAGTTGAACTGATGCAGTCTAAAGATATTTAGCTTCTATTTTGTTTTGCTTTTAGACACAGATATATAAGCTACAAGCTAGCCCAAGCTCACCACAAACATAATCCTGCTGCCTCAACTTCCCCCTGTGAACTAGGATTACTGACATGCAATTCTTGGCAATATTGGCATTTTAAAGTTGCATTTTGTGTCTTTATGTGTGTGTTGTGCATGAGCTTGCCGGCAGATGCTCATATGCCACCACTCAACCCCCAGGGGAAGAAAGAGAGTAAAACAAAGTTTAACTGAATAACCTTTTTTTCCCCCTTTTCTTTTCTTTATTTTTTTACGTAAGTAGAACAGTTGCTTCCAGCTGTCCTGCTGAGTGGCTGGGTGATGGTTCAGCACTTGAATGTGTGAGGGCTTCGATCTGGGAGTTTAATTCTTCTCCTTCCTGAAAGAAAACACTGCCTGTCCTTCTATGATAAATCTTAAGCTTAACAGTGTCCTTCCAGATTATTCTTCTCAGCATCAGATAATTAATAATAAGTGAAATAATTTACCTAAAGTGTAAGCTTTAGCAGTCAACATTACAGTGAGAGCCAGAATTGGCGCAAGTGGCAATAGCTCAAGCTGTTAGTCCTGTCTTGAGTCACAACTCTGGCTCCCTTTGCACATTTCTCTGTCTCTGCAATTGTAATATCCTTTGTCCATATCATTGCATTTTCTCTTTGATAGGCCCTCCTCTGGGTATCTCTTCTCCTTGCCCTTTTGCTATAGTGACCAGTAATGAGGCACTGACAGCCATGTCTGACCTCCTCTGAAGATGCCTTCCCTGAGCTCTGTTGCTATGTAACTACTCAGCACCACATCTTCCTTCCAAGTAGATGGCCTGCTGGTGCTTCAGATCTGCTCACATCCAAACTAAGCTCTCTAAGATAGCACTGTATCTCCTGTTCTTTATGAACATCTCCACCACAGCCAAAGCTACACAGTCTCAAAATCTGATATGATTGTCACAAAGGAGCTGAAAGTATCCAGAAATGACATCTCTTGGAAAAGAAGATATAATGAACATCCACTGGTACACAGACATGTACCATATATACACATGTGTGTGCATACATGCACCATTGTTGAAAGATCACTATTGCTTAGTTTTGTGATTTTGACTTTTAGGTAGAGCCATGCAGTGTTATACATTCTTTTATGCCTCGATCCAATGCTCAACATTTCATTTCAAGATTTGTGCATATGTATAGCTGTCTAGTGTTCTATTATGTGAAAATTCAGTAACAGATATGCCATTTTCCAGTTGAGAGACATTTATTTAGTTTGCAGTTTTTCACTGTTAATAAACACCTCTATGATTAAAAGCATGTGATCTCAGGTACTGAGATCACCTTGTGTGAGCTGTTTCTTTTAGGACTGGATCAATTTTATGTAGTCAGTGTGGCCTTGAACTAACAGAGATCCATCTACCTCTTAACCCTGAGTCCTGGTTTTAAAAGTATGTACCACCTCCACCTAGCTCTGTGGCTTCTGGGATTAAAGGTGTGTATCACCACTGCCTGACCACTATAACTTGTGGCTGACTTTGTTTTCTGAATCCACAGGCAAGCTTTAATAAATCATGAATAATATATCACTGCATATGCATGTATGTATGTATGTATGTATGTATGTATGTATGTATGTCCTAAATATCTGCCTAGTGGTGAATTGCTGAGCTACAGGTAGAAACATTTCCTTATCTTTGGGAGATATTGACAAGTTGTTTTCTACAGTAATTTCAAATGTTGAGTATCTTACCAACACTATTTTATATAGTTATTTGACATCCTCTGGAAACCTTGATATTATTACGCACTGTTTTGTTAATCTACCATTGAAAAAACATTCACAATGGTGTTAATGTACACATAGAATTTGTTTGATTCCAGGTAAAGATCTCCTGATCCTGACTTCTGAATTCTCCCTATGGGACCATCATCACACAGTAAACTATCTGAAATCTACCTGAATCCTAAATAGTAAAAGTTAAAACAGAAAAAAAAATCATTTTAGTTCTTTCTGCTTTCTGAAATTTGAAAAACATCTCTAAAATATTTGTCACTTGGGAGAGAGATTGACTTTTCTTTGGTGTGAACATATGAGACCTGAGAATTGGGCATTCCTCACTGTACCTATCTTGGCTCAGGACCCTAACAAGGGTCAAATCAGTTTCTGAAGCACCAGGCTTTATTCAGACAGACAGCAGTTGTAAGTGCAGCACCTGAAATCTCTTCCATTCTGTCTCATCCCTTCAGAGTAATCCTTTTGTCTTCGGCTGATGTTTTAAAACAGAGTTGATAGACCTCTGTTTTCTAGGGGTAAGTGTCTAGACCGTGAACAAAATTGCAGAGGCCTTTCCAAGTCTGACTTCATAGTTGACATAACTCAGTCCTCTATTTTGCACTAGAGAACTAAAGGTGACTAAGACATCTCAGACCAGATGAGGAAAATGTTTTTATGTGTGTGTGTGTGTGTGTGTGTGTGTGTGTGTGTGTGTGTGTGTGTGTGTGTTTGTACATGTATATGTGAGTGTAGATGTGTAGAAATGTATGTGTAATGAAAAGCTGTTATTTATACAGTATCTTTTTTCTGTTATGAAGTACATTTTAGATACTTGATTACATGCTATGATAGTTACATCTGTGTTTCCTATATTGCTGGGGGTTGTAATTGTCATCTTGACACTGTGTTAATGCCTAGCACCTTAGCATAATTGGGTTGTCTGCCCTTGGCTTACTTGGAGTAAGCAAGATATATCCCAGGTTGGGGGTAGCCAATCATGGTTAATTGTGCATAGTATAGAGACCAAGGAGGACTGAGCAGTGAATTCAGTTTTAATAATCTATTCAAATAAGTGTAGATTTAGGGATTTTAAAATTATCATACATAGCTGATATTTCTGGACTTCAGTTGGTTATTCCTTTACTATCAGATCTTAATATGTTTTTCAATATTTAGCCACTGAAAATAACAATTTCTACTTGTCATGTGGGAATTTATAAGCATTTTCATTTGCACCACCTAGTTTAATCTCCACATCACTATTAAGGCACACGTCACCTCAGTTTTATAGGAAAAAGAACTGAAGTCCCACTGGATGAATTGGCTTGCTTAAAGCCACACCACTGTTTCTTCTATCTTGCACTCTTTTAGCTATAGTAAGCTAGCCATGGCTTCGAAGTTGGAAACATACAGATACCTCTATTCATGGATTGATTTGATCTAATCACATTTACCCTCTCTAGTTAATATTGAATAATGCTTCCTTGAGCTCAGTGGTGAACCACTGGCAGTATTTACTCAAGGACATCAGTTCACTTTTGACTGAACTCCATGATCCTCCATCACAGTCTGTTCATCCACAATGGTCATGGAGGGAACAAGGCTGTTGTCTTGGTTTCACAAACTGTATTTACATATAGAGGTCAAATTCAGTGAAGTAGTAGCTGCATGAACTCATGCATCTCAACAGAATTTGGTTTACTGTGTGATTATATGTATTATAAGTGATGTGGACCAGTACATTTCGTCCCCATCTGCAATGGATATTTAGTCATTATTAATTATAAACAAGTAATCAACTGATAGTTGAGTACTAGAAGAAACTCAGAGAGTGCAGTTACTGAGGGACAGCATGGATATTAATGGGTAGAACAAATACAGAGACCCACAGCCAGACAATAGGTAAACAGTGAGGTAACTCAGAACTCTCAACCCTAGACAGGGTGTCTCCATCACATCACTCAGCCCTGCAGAAGAGGAGATAAAAAGAATGTAAGAGCCAGAGGGGGTGGAAGACACCAAGGAAACAAGGCCCTCTAAATGAATATAACGGATACCATATGAACTTACAGAGACTGAGGCAGCATGCATAGGGCCTAATGGCTCTGTACCAGATGGAGTCCTAGAACTGAAAGAAGTGGGCTCATGTCCCATTCTTGACCCATAAGCTATGACTAATTGAAAACCACTAGTAAATGAAAATTAATTTTCTCCATGGAGTCTTACTGGGGGAAAAAATATACTACTATTAAGGGTAGGCTTCATGGCCAGCAACAGATGGTCAATAGAAAACAAACCTCGTGACATCTTTGGAGGTTCAAGTAATTTTTGTTTTTGTGTTTAATTTTACCTCTTTTTTAAATTTCACTTACTTTCTCCCCATTTACCCTACAGGTCCTTTGTATTATGACTTCCAGTTTAGTGTTTTTATGAGAGTCTTGTGTATGGAGATGAGTGGGTCTCATCTTGTGCCTTCTCTTGGGCTCCTTATATTGGTTTGTTTCGTTCTAACCCAATGTGTTAAGTTTTTGTTTTATTTTATTTTATTATTATCTCTCAAAGCCTTTTTATTTTCTGATGAAAGACTGAAAGACAGTGGATCTGGATGGTAAGGGAGGCAAAAGGAACTAGGAGGAGTAGAGGAAAATGAAACTGTAATCACAATATATTATGTAAAATAAAAATATCTATTTTTAATAAAAGGAAAAAATAAAAATTAGAAATTAGAAAAAAACAAAAAGATAACTATCATGGTTTTCTTTTTCCCCTAGGCTTGCCTCCTCACTGCCTCACACCTTGAAAGAGGAGCACGAACACACATCCGCTGGAAACATGTCTTTAGAAACCCTGAGAAACAGCAGCCCAGAAGATATCTTTGATTAGATACAAAATCTAGAACCAGACTTGGTGTTCATTAAGCTACATTCTTTATCCAGTTCTTTCTAATGAAGACAGGCTTTCAGCTTAGTAGCAATGGTTACTATGTACACACAGAGTGAATTACAGAAGTAGGATGATCTGATTGGATGACAAAGGGGCACTTTTCTCAACCATTCATGTTGCCTACTAAATCTGAGTTTGGTTCCAAAATGTACATTTATCATATTCCTTTTCATGTTATTTTAACTTTCTAATGACTCTTGGAAAATGTTGGGAATAGGGCAAAAGAAAACCATCCTTTTAAAATGTCCCTGATTCTTTTTGAATTGCACTTTAAGCAACATGTTTGGAAAGTTTAATTTATGAAGTGACACATATAAAATATATCTTTATGTTGTGAATAAACAATCTGAAAATCTGACAGTTAATAAAAGTTTGTGTTCTTAAAGAAACATTAACAGAACTTTTTCTTTATTGTAGTAACTTGTCTTTCTAAAGTTCTCACTGGTGGGCATCCCATGTTTCAGAGATGGCCCACAGCCATGCACACACAGGCATCTCTAATTGGCCTCGTGGGTTATTTAAAAAGACATGAATTTGGGAAGGGAACATATTGAAGAGTATGTGGAAGGATTTAGAGGGTGAAATGGGGAACAATTTTTTTACATTTCATTGCACATGTGTATGAACCTCAAGAATAAAGAAAAAATGTGAGTGCTTACATATGTAAATGTAACCATTTTGGGGGCCAAAAACAAAATAGGCAATGAAACATAACTTTTTTCCAGGCCTTTCTTGAAAGCAAAGACCATGTCATATCTATCACCAGTAAAACTTGATACATTTCTTACTGTTCACTTCCTAACTGTTCATCATTTTTTTCCAACTGAGCATCCATTTCCTCCTTTCAAAATTATAATGCACAGCATGTTGTCAAACCCAGTATCTTGTTCACTCTGAGTCATCTGAATTTTTGATAAAGCTCATCACCTCTGTTTTATGCTTTTGGAATTGCATATGTTCTGTGTGGTCCTCCTTTATACTGGTCACCTACTAGTTAGACATCTCGGCTGACTCTTCTCTACTCAGTAGATAAATGATGCTTGATTGCTCTAGGGTTACTCATCAACACATTGCTCTTCATTTTCCATATCACCACTTTAGGTTTCATATGATTTTATATGTCACCTATATATTCTTATCCTTATCTCCAAAGTTAATAGGCAAAAGTTATAAAGAGACTTGCATATATGTGTGTGTGTGTGTGTGTGTGTGTGTGTGTGTGTGTGTGTAGTTTGTTTATTTTGTTTTGGTCCATACAGTGGTTACATTTATGCATGTAACATTTACATATCCAACAATATATACATATATGTGTGTGTATGTATGTATGTATGTATGTAGAGATTTTCCTACGTTTGCCACATTTGGCTTATGCCTAAAATCCCATGATTCCGAAGGCAAAAGCAGGAGGATTTGCCAAAGGATTCAAGGCTACCCTGGATTACCTAGTAAGTTCCAAGCCAGTCTGGGCTACAGAAAAAAATATTTTAAAAATAAAATTCTTGCACCATTTTAATTTTTTGATGGCTTACATAAGAAGAAAAATCTAGTTGTATATGTAAATTATCAATTGTAAATATAATTCTAAAACACAAACCTACTTAGTTACCCAGGAATGTTACTATACTGTTGACTCTTCAATAATCTAAAATATATGTACTTTACATCTTTACAAGGGACTTTTAAATATGAACCAGTACATGTAGAGTAAAAGAGTGGAATCTTAGTGTATTTCCAGTGTAATACTAACAATGACATTCATAAAGTTCATCAGATTTTGAAAGATTTGAATATTTATCTTTGTAGGACAATGGATTTTTCACCCATTGCTGTGCCACACTGATCCAGTTGGTTACAAAAGGGTGCATATAACCTATAACCACAGGTTGTTCCTATCTTATAGAGACAGGAAAGGCATGGAATTCTGTTTCACATAGCATATAGATAGTGCTCTACAGGGTGGTCAGATCCTGCCAGTCCAAGCCATGTTCACCCCCATGCTTTGCACTGTTTGTGCTCTGAAATAAAGTGTTCTCAAGAACACTGACTGACTTGTAAGGCACAGAACTGGAATAGGCATTGTGACTCTTTGAATGTTAGTATCCTCATTCTAAGACAAATGATCATTTCCAGGGAAGGGGTTAGCTTAAAATTTCTACATTTGGGGGCTGACATCCGATGTGGTCCAGGTATCATTAGGGAAGGAAGAAAAAAAATCCCTGCACAAGAAAAGGTGTCTTTATTATATGGTTTTAAAAGGTCAGAGATCTACTTTCTAAAAGGTTTGCTTCATGGCCTATAATTCAAATTTATAAAATACAGGACTCTGTGTCTTTGAGCCAAGCAATTCTTTATTGAGTGTTCAGTTCAACAAATGTTTACCAAGAAAAGGTTATACACAAAGTACAGAGTGGGCCATCTGGAGAATTAAAAAATAAGTCTATTCATTTTACAAACAGTTGCTGAACATTTGTGCTAGCTTTTGTTCTTGGCATGAGATGTGATAGTGAACAATTCAGGTAAGCACCCTGTTGCCATAGAGTTCATGCCACAGCAAATGAAGCCTGGGGTACTCAAAACAGGCCCATGTATTGAGAAGCTGGAACTACCCTATAATTAATTGAGTTCCTGGGGCTCTTTTAGGATTTCTGAGAATATGAAAAGAAAAGAAACTGTTGGTCAATGAGACTTTTGCTGGATGTGGCCCAGAAAACTCATCCTTCATCCTTTCATATCTCTCTCATCCCTACACTCAGTATCATTTATAGATCAACCACAAATATCTGACTTCTACATTCAAAGTAAGCCTCCTCAATTTACCTGTGACTTCACAATCCTAGAAAAAAACACCTAGGTACATTTCTGTCCCACCTTAATGATATTTTTTAATTTTTTTATTTTAATTAGAAAAAAATATGTTTCTGCTCTCCAGGGAGGGTGAGGCCTTCCATAGGGGGTCTTCAAAGTGTGTCATATTCTTTGGGATAGGGCCCCCTTGAGGAAATGATGGCACCCGTGAGACCTCCCCTGCTCATATTTATGACTGTTGTCTTGATTCAATTTTTTTCATCAGGGTTCTGACAGTAAATCCTTTTCAAATGAGATTTCACTGTAGCTGTTGCCTGAGTTAACCTGGAATGATTTTCTCTATATACTAATTTAAAGAGTGCTTTGAAATGATCTTTCACTTTCTCTCTTTCTGACCAGTAACCCCCATATCTCCTCAGTATAAAATACTCTCCAGCTACACTTTGCTCCTGTTTACCCTGCCCTATGATCCTTTCATTTACCCATGATTTCTGATTATCTTCTTACATATTTGAATAAAATTCAACATGAATTTTATTAATGGCCTGTTGGTTTTATTCTTTCTGTCCTTTACAGAATTGTCTGATATTCTCATCCCACAATCTCACAGAGAATAGACTTTCACACAAGGTTTCATTGTGCCTAAAGACTCTTGATTCTGCAGGAGAAAATCACCCCTGTCTCCATAATGATAGAGTATTTTTTAAAGAGATTCTTCTGGTGGCCACAGTTCCAGCTGAAAGAATATGGATGAGTCTTGAACCATTTGCTTTGTTTAAAGAGAGTTTGCAATGTAATGGTGATCTTGGCTATCCTAGCCAGTCAAGCATAGGTAGATTAAACAATGTTTATGGAACCTGCATATGCAAGACCCTATTCTAAACTTTTTGCCTCTGAACTGTGCTCTTTGCCACAAGCTCAGATTGAGATAAGATCTTTTATGAAGGTAGTATCCTTAGGGATACAATCCAGACATCAAGAAAGTGTGAGGCAGCTTAAAGTAGGAAAGCAGAAGGCAATGCAGAGGTGCCCTATCAAGATGGCTACTGTGTGGTCTTTATGTGTTCCCACCAGGATCTTGGAAGAAACCCTTTAGATGTTTTTTCAGAACTATGCATGGAGGAGTGCAAAAAAAAAAAAAAAATAGTTTATTTGTTGGTTGCTGTTTTCTGTTAGTCACTGGTGGTCTGGATTGCTTGATCCCTCCTATTTCAATTCCTGCTGATGACCCATGTGGCAGCAACAGAAAAGGTCATAGGGTCAAAGCAGAAGTCCAGGGGCCAATGCACCTACTAAAGGAGGTCAAAATTACTACAATTGATTGATGGTGATTTTGAGGATTTTGAGGCACAGCTCAATGGCTAACACTGGGGTACAAATTGTGTTATGCCATTTCATGCTGCCTCATTTCACAATCTTAGTCAAGTTGATAAGACTGAAAGGCCAAGGAATAAGTGGTCTGGCTAAGTTGTGTTCATGACTTGTCTTAAAAAGGAGAAGTAAACCTATAAGTTATGAGGAAACTAAAAGGAAAAAACACCTGTGCAAACTGGCAGAGAGAAGCAAAGACTCTAAGGACTAATGATGAGGGAAAACAATACCGGTTGTGGCCCTGACACCTGTGCTTTTCAGAGCCAGTAATAAGGTAAGTATATTGTTAAACACACACTTCCATTTTCTGTACTTTAATTAGTTGGATGGCTCCTTAAAGGGACGGGGAATTAAACTAGCAAGGAAGTGTAATACATTTTCTAAAGATTCCAAGTAGCAATTTCCCAAGAAGTTGCTCTCCCCCATGTTTGGCCTCTGCTAACTTGCAGATCATAACTGAGTCTGATCTGCAAGCTAGAGCCCAGTCCACTTCATTGAGACTTTCAGGAAAGCTGTCTAGCTAAGCCACTGCAGATAGACTGGGCCACATGACTACAGGCAGGTGTGTGTGTGTGTGTGTGTGTGTGTGTGTGTGTGTGTGTGTGTGTGTGTGTGTGTTTGTGTGTGTGTGTTCATTATGGAATAGGGCGTCGCATGAGTGCAGGTCCCCATAGAGGCCAAAAGAAGGCATCGGATCTCCTGGAGCTGGGGTTAGAGGTGGTTTTGATACAGCTGATGTGAGTATTGAGAACTCTTAACCACTGAATTTCTCAATTTTGTTTCTCCATCATAACCCTAGAATATTACACTCTCACTTCTTTGAGAAACTTCATGGAGAATTGATCAGAGACCAAGAAAATGCAAGAAGGAGATAGGTGAAGTTTCGTAACTTCTCTTCAAGAATCCTCCAAGTTTGTCTGAGGCAGCCTGTCTTTTGAGGAACAGAGGGATGAATGTATCATTACCAGTCCTTTGGAGTAGGAAGAAACCATGGGTTGAGGAGGTGGGGCAGTAAGAGTGAGGATACCAATGTGAATGCAAGGCTCTAGAAGATTAAGGGAAGTAGGGAGATGACTTGATTGGATCTGTTCTCTGAGTGAAAATTTTAAAGGTAATGTGAGGGCAGGCACAACCATCTGCGTTCAAAGGCTTCAGATTCGTCTGTAGGCTGTTCAACTCCTCCTCTATTTCTAACTTATGTGGGACATCATCAAAC